TGTATAAAAGAGCAGGGTATTTTGAATAAATCGGAGTTTTACTCTCAGCAGCTTTCTGATCAGAGTCTTCTCATTCCCGTCCTGCTTCAACAGCGACACAGAGGAGCCTGTGGTGAGGGTGAATAACCAGCTGGGGTTTTTCCCTGTCACATCTCCAAAAGGCAAACCTCTCCTGGCTGTCTTTGGCATATGGCTGGTGCTGGCACAGGTTAGCACAGGGCTGGAACACAATTACAGCTGCAAACACACCAATTTCCTCCTGCAAATGGAGAGGAAAAGGGAGCACAGGGAGAGGAAAGGGAAGGTGAAGAGCAGAGGGAAAATGCTCAGTGTGTCCCCGAGCTGGTGGCTCACAAGGCTGCCTGGAACAGATGGGAAGGGATTCCCTCACATCCCACAAAGGAGGCTGCTGGCAGTGGTGCTGCACTTCTGCTCTACAGCTCTGTGCTCCAGCTCCTCTGCTGCTTGGCTGGGACCTGAAATTCCCGTTCACACCTCAGTGGATGCATTCCCAAGATTGGGCAGTGCTCCTCTGCAGCCCGTTGGTTTTGTTGGGTATAAATATTTACCATGACAGATGAACGGGGGAATGGCTTTGCAGCCTGATAAATCCAATCTTTCCCAGACTGACATTGCTTCAGAACTCTGAACCAGTGAGACAAAGCGTTTTACACCAAGTGGAACAGCTTGGAAGCTGAGACAGAATTTCCTCTTGCTTCTTCTGGGTTTCCTTGAAGTCAGTCATTCACCTGGAAAAATGCAGGTCAAATCCTTGCTTTGAACCAGGCGCAGCAGAAGAACTGGTGGTACTGGTGGGATTTCTCCAGTATTTCCTTGGTGAGTTCTAATCCAGGTCTGAAGATGCTCATCAGAGCAACACAAGCACCAAACACAATCACAGAATATCCTGAGTTAGAAGGGACCCACAGGGATCATCAAGTCCAACTCCTGGTCCTGCACGAGACTACCCCAAAAATCACACCAAGTGCCTGAGTGCATCATGCAAACTCTTCTTGAGCTCTGACCAGGATCACTTCAAAGGTTCTTGCCTCTGAGAACCTTGTGGGTTTCAATGAGATATTGTTTCAGGGGTGTCAAGGCATAAGGGCTTCACTGCAAAAAAAGTGGGGAAATTTTGAGCATCCTCTTGTTTTCTTTGCCTTTTGGGAATCAGGGAGCTGCATTTTGATGATTTTATGGTACATCAGAGTTGGATTCTCTCTGTTGATGTGGGCTCAGTGTAAAGTAGCCATAACAAAGCTGGCTCACACCTGGCCAGCCTGGGATTCCCAGCACTGTAATTCCAGGAATTTTCACATCTTCCTATCCTTTTAGGACCTACAGACTGGGTAGGTATGTGACAGGATCTGAGCTGGCTCCCTGCAAACTCAGGACTGCAAGTTTGCCCTTGGTGGATCACAGTCCCACACCTGGAGAAATATTTTGGGAGCATCTAGCCCAGCTGGTAACAGGCTCTGGGAGAGGTTGTGGCATTGAACACTGCCCTGTCAGGACTCAGAAAGGATCTGCAAGTCTCCTCCTGGGCTCAGAATTGTTGGTATCCTTTGCTAAAGGCCAACAACCCCCAACCCCACCAAGCTGCAGGTGCTTCCCTCCAATGGGCTGCATTTCATTGTGGAGAAATAAAACTGGTGAGTTGAGATCTCTGAGCTCTAAAAGAGAGCTCACCTCCCTCTCCAGGTGCCTGTGGTGGTGACCCAGAAATAATTTCATGAGGACATGTTTTAGTAGGATGGCAGCAGCCCAATTACTGAGGGTGCTCATGAGCTGGGCAGGGATTTCCCACCCTCAGCATAAAACTTTTTCAACCCCAATTGATGCAGCTGAGTGGGACACAAACATCAGCATCTATATCCCTGTATTTTCTGTCTTCTGGCTGAGTTTGGGACTGTGGGATTGTGAGCAGGACTGAGCTTTAATATTTTTCGTTTGCCTCTCCACCACGAAAACAAGAATTAAAAAAACCCTACTCCCTTGGTTTTAATGGGATCCACATGCATTTTTCAAATAGGAATTGCCCCTGTATGGAAATTACCAGACCTTCAGAAAAGAGGTAAAATGCACACACACATCTTAAATATCTAACAATGCCTTCACATAGGATGAGAGCTCCCCAGAGAAGCTGAAGAAGAAATCCATTTAATAGCTCCTTCACTCCTTCTTCCTTCCTGGAGTGCCAGTTGTGTGCTGAGTCAACCTTGTTCTGATGAAAGCAATTTTATCTGCTGCTGTGACGCTAATTTTTGTCATCTGGAGAGTGGCTCCTTATGGTAGCTCTGATTCAATTAAGGATTACAGGGCCCTGTATTTCCCTTTCCAGTGTGTGCTAAGCAAGTGCAAATGAATTACAGCCCAATTATTTTCTGCTGATCCCTAATGATCCTGGGTGCATCCATGCACCAAGATCTGTGAGAACTTAAAGAGAATGAAAAAACCACAGGCCATGCTCTGCTTTTGGTATCTGGCCTTGTTTTTTTATGCATGAAAATCGAGTTTCTTGTTCATGGAACACAAGCAAGCAAAACACCATGTCACCAACACAGTGCAGAGAAGGGCTGGTCCTTCTCAGTGATCTGCTCTTCCACAGGGCACCCAAGGGTGCCTGGAAATCTTCTGCTCCCAAGGATGGGGGGAAATAGCAGAACACACTCCAAGGGGCTCTCCTGGTGCTGCAGCTTCATCTCCACCTGTGTAAAATGTGGGGGTCATGTGCTGGCCACTCCCTTCCTGCTCATGTTCCTCCTGTCCCTTCTCCCTGTGTCCCAAACACCATCTTTGGTGCTGCATGATCACCTCTTATCCACAGGAATTTTGGCACATTTGTATGTTTGGCATTTTTTTTTTCCTGCTTCCTGCCTGTTTCTCCTTTACTGGCTCATTAAAAAAAAAAAAAAAAAAAAAAGAAAAAGAAAAAGTGCAATTTATCTGTTTCAGAGATGCCAGTTCTGGTAAAGCCACCGAGGACTGAAGGTCTCCCTCCCTTACCCCCAGTACTTCATTATTTATGACACACCAGCATGTCCCAGGTTGTCCTCAAGCAACTTGAACAATTCCTCAGAGTTATCAACCCCTGAGGGCTTAAAACTGAAGAGTGAAAGGCCTGAAAAGAGGGAGAGCAAAAGTGTTTCTCTGCCTCTTGGCTTGTCCGATCTCATCCTGGATGCCAGCGGCGTTTCCAGTTGTGTGTCCTCTGTTGGCTCATGTGGAGCAGGTCATTTC